GTTAGCAAATATAATCCTTGGCATATTGATAAGAAGGTGACAAATATTATGCACCACTGTCCTCAGTAACGGAAAACCCAAATTCCAGTGAGTTCTGAATTGTAATAATACACACTATTATACTCTGTAACCAAATTCCCATCAATTTTGTAATCTGATATTAATCTCCTATTATGTTTCTACACTGCCTTTGCTATTTCAAAATTACTCCTTAGTCTGTTATCACACAGAAGTGCAACCAGAAAAAAAAAAAAAAGGATTTTCTTGCCTGTATGAGGCTGTTCCTAGCTTTTATCTCATCTGTAGTGGTACAGAAACTACTGGACAATTGCTAGCAGAGATGGTCAGAATAGCCCTGTGCATGAACATATTCACTTCCAGGCTCTTGGTTCCCAGCAACCAAAGCCATTTCCATGGGAAGAGCAATTAATCCAGGTGAGAACTGGCAAGTTGAGACTCCTGTTTTCAGGGTATAAGATCTCCCAACCTCCCTTTAATCCCACGCAGATGCAAACAGGCTCACTGCTTTTTCCAAAGGCCAACATGAAAATGGACTGAATATTTTGCTCATTAAAAAAAACAAATAAAACAACCTTCCATTGCCTTTCATAGAATTTCAGATCAAGCTAACCTGTCACATTTTAAGAGTTTGCATTCTGGACCTACATCATACATTAGTGAGCTTTGAGGTCCTGTGAAATCGATTAATTTCACCAGGAACCCGAAAAAGAATGACAACTGAATTTCCTGCCAATTAAAAAAAAAATCTCAAGATTAGGAAAATGGTGAAAATGAATGATTTTTACTCTGCTTGATTACCCTTCCCCTTCCCTCAACCAACAACTTGCATATAAATATTTGTATCTATTATGGTTTAGATGTGGTGTCCCTCAAAAGCTCAAAAGACAATGCTAAGAAGGTTTGGAGGAGAAATGATTGGGTTACAGATTTAGCCTAATGGGATTAACTGAGTGGTAACTGGAGATTGGTGGGGCATGGCTATGGGGTATAAATTTGTATCTGGAGAGTGGATTCTCTTTTGTTCTGCTTTCTGATCACTATGTGCGCTGTTTCCCTCTGCCACTCTTCCACCATGATGTTCTACCTCACCTCGAGCCCTGAGGAATAGAGCCTGCTGTCTATGGATTGAGATCTCTAAAACCATAAGCCTCCAAATAAACTCTTCCTCCTCTACAATGTTTTGGCCGGGTCCATTAATCACAGCAGCGAAGAAAGCTGAATAAAACAATATCCAAGAAAATCAACTATCTTTCTTGGCCCAACTCACAAAAGGAATGGAATTAATGGTTAGAAGTGACTCATCTAGAAACAGCTGCACTGCTTCAGATGATAAGTTGGAAGGTGGTCCCAAAGCCATCTTTTTAAAAAAAAAAAAAATTTGGAATTACAGTCCTGACCAAATGAAAATGCTTTCCACAGATAGCATAAAAATAGCTATCATTCTCTGTCTGTTGTCCATAATGCTGCAATGAACATGCGTGTACAGATGTCTCTTGGACATATTGATTTCATTTCTTTTGGATATAAACTAGAGTGGAACTGCTAGATGATCTGGCAGTTCTATTTCCAATGTTTTGAGGCACCCCCATATATTGAGGGATGGCCAATATTTTGAGACATCATATTTCCATAAAGACTATACTAATTTACATTCCCACTAGCAGCGTACTTGGGTTCCCTTTTCTCCATATGCTTGTCAACACGATGCAATTTTTGTTTGTCAGTTATACTTCAATAAAACCAGTGGTAGGGGAGGATAGGGACTGGGACATACTTCAGTGGTAAAGCACTGCCTACCATGTATGAGGCCCTAGGTTCCTTCAAACCTCAGCACTGTAAAACACAAGAACAAAAAACCCTCAAGATAGTGGTTTCCCTTGAGCTGTTGATTAGGAAGAAGCATAAGGGATTCTCCATGGTGCTGGCAATGAATTAGGGAAAAATAACTATCATTTTCTATGTGTCATCTACTACAACTCATGGCAATATGGGATCACGGCTAAACTGGTGGATTCTTTTTTTTAAAAAAACAGATACAGCATTTTATACTTTTATTTTATTTATTCCTTTTTATGTGGTGCCAAGGATCAAACCCATGGCCTCACACGTGCTAGGCAAGCACTCCACCACTGAGTCACAAACCCAGCCCCTAAACTGGTGGATTCTTGACAATATAGAAGTCCTTTGGGAAAACAAAGACATTTCAACTAATGCCACCTCATTATGTCCTGTTGAACTTGCAGGCCTACCGGAACCTATTCTTGAAAGCACCTGTAGCAGCAATATCACTTCCATGGAGAAATGCTTTTTTTTTTTTTCCAACATAATATTGCTCTGTACTTCCCAACTGCTGAGGAGGATGCAAAGGTACAAGAGGCATAGTCCGTATTTCTCAGAGATCCGACTGTCATTATGAGGAGCGAGGACAGCCCAACAAGAAGCAAGAAAAAAAAAAGAGCAGCAGGAAGTGGTTTGGATACCATATTCATGAGAAAGACCAGAAAAAAGTAGACAAGAAAGAGACAATGTTTTAAAAATTAAATTAATGAACTTACTATCCAGGAGTAAATATTTTTCCAAACCATCAGTATTATTTCAGACACCTCAACTATATCAATATGGTATTTTCCTTTTTCTTTTGTTTTTTAGAAAATTGTGAATAATCATCCATTTATAGATATAGATCTTCATCAATTAATTCCTTGCATCGTGTCTCTTAAATGATTTCCTATTGGTTAACTTCATTCAACTTTGTATGGTTGCCCCAATATTTATTTAGGATGCATTTTTGTAGGTAGAAATACTGGTTCCAAAGTAAACCACTTTCTTTTTAATGTTTTTTAATTGTAGTTGGACACAGTACCTTTATTTTGTTTATTTATTTTTATGTGGTGCTGAGGATCAAACCCAGCGCCTCATACATGCTAGGCCAGTGCTCTACCACTGAGCCACAACCCCAGTACAAGCACATTCTTTAAAGACATCTCAATCTCCAAATATCTGCATGTCTGTATGCATACATATGTGCATGTATGTGTTGTGTCTGTGTGCATCTGTGTGTGCTCAGTTGCACTTTAGTTAAGTTGTACCAATATCCATATTCATAAGCAGTGTTTATATGTGTTCATTTTAAAATAATTGCAATGTACTAGGTAAAAATGGTTATCAAACCTTCATTTCTATTACATTTATATTATTAATAACAATAACATTTTAAAAACATATTTTTTGGTAACTGACATTTCTTACTTTTTTTAGTTGCTGTCTTGTCCTTAACTCAATCTTTCTCTAAGTAGTTTCCTATTTTTTTCTTTTGATTTGTGAAAAATTCTTCATCTCTGAAAGCTATTAAATTCTTTGCTCACTGTATTTGAAATAAATATTTTTCCTAAATTAGTTATTTGCATTTTTATTTTTAGGTAATGGGAAATTTTTTAAAATGCTCATCGTCAAATCCATCAAAATTTTTTTGTTGTCATTGATCTCACTTTAGAAATTTATTTTTATAAATTTATAAATTCATTTTCTCCTACTACTTTTACATTTTTAATCTTCACATCCATATCTTCTTACATTTAGAGGCCATAATTAAATCTAAACCTTTTCATAAATCACATAAAATATTTTATAAAATCAGTGATTACACAAAACAAATATATTCATTCCAAAGTTGTTTTTGTTGTTGTTTTTTTTAATTTTAAATTTGGAGATGAATCTTACATGGGAAAAACAAAATGTCCCAGCAGCTCTTTTCACTTCCAAAGGTGGAGTATTCAATACCAAATGACATGAAAATCTTGGTCTTCTCAGCCGCATTGCAAATGCCATAGGTAACTTCTATCCAAGTCTGAGCCCTTAAAGAATTATCCATGAAATAGTCACCACTGGAGCCTCAGGGTTTAGCACAGGCTTTTAGTAGGCACATGATAATTCAGTAAATTTTGTGTGTTAGGTTCATAACAAGACCTCTGGAAGATGAGCAAGACAGTAGGTGTGTAAAAGGGTGTTTCAGAGTCACTAACCCAACAGCATCATGTGAGATGAACTGAAATTTAAGAGACAGGGAAGTAGATTAAGTAGAAGGCTGCGGCACAGTCTGGGCTTCCATCAAAAGTCCCCTACTAGAAGAGTGATTATAAAACTGGAAAAGGGAAGGTCAAACCATGATAGCTTTTCAAGTCTTCTGAAGGGCAAATGAATAACATTTCCTATGACAGAAACGAGGAAGGTGAGAAGACGACGATGTGGACCAGGCACAGCAGCAACAAGAAGTGGTGGTTCTGGTACCAAACCTGCTGAATTCTTATTGGTGGGTCTGTCAATCAGAGCTCTCTTATAGACACTCAAAGATCCAGGACTAGGGTACTTTGCTAAGCGGACTGGGGATGCAGGAGAGGAAACATTTGCAGAATCCCTATAGTGGGGTCAGACACTACTATGCTAGGTATTTTACTTATCAAATTGTAATTTATATTTCAGAATTATCCACATTTTAGTCATAGAGAGGACAAAGAATTTTATAGTTAGATCCAACCTCCCCCACTGCTAGCTACACAGACTTGAAACAGTTTATCCTCCCCATAAACTATAGTTTTATCATTTATCATGTAAGAAATTAGAATACTATTTAACTCAATGAATTGAAATAAATTATATAATTCATAAACAGTAAATAGCATGGTACCTAAAATATAATTAAATGCAATAAAGAACTATTGATAAGTGGTGGGTAAAAAAAAAACGGAATTAACAACCATCTTTGGGAATGGTCTCTATTAAGGGAAAGAGGATTTAAAGATATTGAAAAGATGAAGTGGTGTTCATGAAAATGGGAGAAAACCTCAAAAACACAATATTTTGGAAACCACGAGACTAACGGTTTCATATTTGAAGGTACTTAATCAAGCCTAGTAATGAGAATGGAGAAATGGGCCCATTTAGCACTGAATGTTCTTCACATAATAAAAGAAACTACTTACCCAAAGTTGGTCATCCATGCCTGGAGGATTCTTTTTGATAAAAGCACCATAGTATGTAGCAATATTCCGGTGATGAGAATATTTCTTCAACATGTTAATTTCTTGCTTGATTTCTTCCTCTTCATCCTAGAACAGTAAAGAATCTGTCATGAAAATCCATGGTCTATAGTGGAATTCCAGCCTTCAAACCATGGATATCAACTAAACTATGGTAAGTTCCTTCTTACGTCTTTTCTTTCATGGCGATAAAAGAGCATAATTATTTTATCTGACTAAAATGAAAAAGTTTACAAAACCACACAACGGTGGCCCAAAGGGGTCTTCTTTTAGTCCAGCTAACAGGCATTGCTTGTAATCAGCTGGGGATGAAAAAGAAACCTGACTTCTTCACCCGGAGGAGATGAAGGTGGTCAGGCTGTTAGACAGTCCACACCAGGCCTCTGGAACTAGGCCCAATGAGCTACTATCACTGGTCACATCTGCTACGGGAAAGGTTCAGAAAAGCGAAAGAGAAAAACACAGGCTCTCGGATTTAAATTTGGTTAGGTTCATTTTCTTTGAAGCCTGCCTTTATTGAAGTGCCTGAGTGAAGGTGATGAAAGTCAGAAGGGAAAAGGAGCAAAGTAAGTTCTCAGGATCTGAGGAAGTTCACAAAGCAGGAGTACCCACATCACCTTCAGGAAACTCAACATAAAAAGGAAAGGGGAGATGTGGTGGGGCCCAGGATGTAAAAAGAGACAACTCCCCTACAGAGTTAGTTTCCTGATATTCAAGTTTCATTCATTTTGAGTTTCACCTTGGAATCTACCAAAATTCCTGGTGGAGAGTATGTGTTCCCTCCTAATTTTATTTTACAGATGGGTACACATCAGTTGGACTGAGAAGTAAGTGTTTTAATTTGGAGGTTGTTGTAAAAGACTTCTGCCTCTAGATAATTATTTTAGATGCCGTCGTAAAAGGGGACTATTCCTCCATGTAAGATGTTACAGTACCATGATTGAAAGACCTGCCTGGTATGTCCCCTGTCTGCACTGTCAGTCCCTCCCAGCTGCCTGGCCTCCTTCCAGTGTATCTGGGGCCTTCTGTAGTCTCCCACGTGTAATGTCTTCTTTCCTTCTTCTTTCTCTTCTTTTCTACACACCATTCCTGATTAAGTTGACACCCAGAGATGTCCTCCTGATTCTATCAAGCAATGTCCAGTTCCCTGACTAAATGTTGTCACAGCCCACTACTGTTCTTCATGCTGAGATGCAGCTCCCTGTGCCATAATCGCCCTGTTGCTTACTCTCTTCTCCATAGAAAGGCCTCTTCCACTTCAGATCTCAGTTCCAGAGTTCCTACTGGCCAAGCTGCCTGATCTAATAGTCTTGGTTCTAGCCACAGGAATTACCATGCATCTCCCTTTGCAGTACCTATTAGAAGTGCCACTCCTACAAGTCTGCAGCAACCATGTGCCCAGGAATCCTGCCTGTGTTTGTCTCTCTGTCCCATCTCAAGCACCCAGCAAAGTGCCTGTGAACAAAAGTGAATACAAGAAAGAAGACCTGCAAAGGGTCCAACACTTAGAGCAAGACTAGTGATGTTCAAAGAAACAAACAGGAATAGAAGGAGGACAGTGGCAGAATGCTAACATTTCCTGACCAAACAAAAATAAGCGTTAGTGAAAGAAAATGAAGATTGCAAACCCAGGAGAACTAAAGCATGTTACACACCACAAGACACAACTAAATCGAACACTAGGTGATCTCAAAATAGAACATATGATAGGGATGCTGAGCTAAGGAGGTGCATGTGGCCTCAGAACTGAGGAAGAGAGCTGAAGTCAGAGGAGCTGGGATGGTGGCTGAGGGCATTACTGGCACACTGCTGACCCATGCATCTTCCCTACAGTAGTGGGAAACCGCCCACACTTTCGCTGCAGGCCGACGGGAAGAATGACCTTCACATATCTTCCATTTGTGGAAGGGTCTGGGCAGCACACCACAAAAGCCTTACTACAGTGTGCATCAGCTATTTTAAACTCGAAGTGTGGAGCCAAATAATTGTGCATGAATGTGAGATGCAAGCAGATGTACTTTGGGGAAGCCTAAGTAGAAGGGGAGAAAACCAACTTGAGGGTTTCTGTGGAGAGCACGGCCCCATCGCTGACAGCTGTTTTGATTAAAAAGGCAACTACGTGAGGCACTGAAAGAAAGAGATCACTTTCTAACAGCAGCTGACAGTCTTGGCTTCAGTCATCCTTAGTGAGAAGGCAGGCAGGTTCCACAAGTACTTGCTTCCTGCCTCTTGGGTGCTCTGCAAGATGGTGGGTAATGTGCCCTAAAAAAGCTTACTGTATCATTAAGAAAATTAAGAGCTTATGAAAGAGCCAAAAAAATAGTGTAATTCAGTGTGGAATTAAGTCTACAATAAATAGTGTTGGAGGTCACCATGAAGTCAGTACATTCTCCATCACTTTGCAAAGGTAAACTGCGGCAATTAGGAACATGCAGGAAATATATGCATTGATTTTGGGGTTAGAAAGATGGGGGGTTAGCATACACATGGCTCTGGGTTTGATCACTAACACCGCAAAAAGAAAAAGAAAAAAAGAAAGATGGGAGTGGGAAGGTAGGCACATGTTGTAAGAGCTCAGGAAAGTAACCTACCTTTTTGGAGCCTAAGTTTTCTCATCTATATTGAAATACAGATATTATAAGTCCCAGTTTTTTTGAGATAATTAAATAAGATGAAAGTTATAAAGTGTAATACAAAATAAATATCATTGTTAATATTCTCAACTAAAGTAAATAAACAAATAAAAAGGTAGGAGAGCAGGAATGCTAGTCATTTGAATTTCAAGTTTAAATTGCATTGTTTCCAAACACAATTATGGAACATTGGGTCATGGTCATGTAGCTCCAAGAGTCAATTTTGATCTTGACCTTCTATGGCCCAGTAAGTGAGCATGCAATTTATCAGGGCTTCAGGGACCCTATTTATCCAGATTTCTAGTCCGAGGCACTGATGGCAGTTAGTGATTCAGTGAAATAGGGAGGATCTTACTAGAGATGACAAGAATTCATTTAACCATGACACAAATGGTCCAGCCAGTCACAATATGGCCCATTGAGGGAAATGAGTTAGAATGTTTCCAAGAGAACAACTGAGGCTAGAATTAGACTAAACAGTCTTAGAAGAAGAGTCATCTGCTATTGTGTAAGTATTCCTACAACTTAATTATTAGGCACAGGGACAAGATCACTGAGAAGCTACCTCATAACAAAAAATAGTGGAACCAAGTTGTCTGAAATTTAAAAAGAAGAGTAATTTTAATAAGCCAAGTCCAGTACTTTAGGAAGATCTATTACTTCAACCAAAAGACTTCAAAGTCAATTCTGATTTATTGTGTTAACTTTAGGCACGACATTTAAACTCTAATGTCAAGTTATTTTCAGCTGTAAATGGGAATAAGAAACCTGTTGAAGTCCCTCTGAGGCTTAGAAATGATGCAGTTCTTACTGAATTATAGCTTTAGAATCAACATAAAGGAGCTTTGAGGTTTCTTTTTTATTTGTTTGCCCTTAAGATCATGGGAATTTGTTTATTTTTTAGTATTAGTGGTAGATGGAGGGGAAAAAATGGCTGATATTTGACTGTCCCCAACAAAGGTGGCAGCTATTACTTTTCTTAAAATGGGGTTTGGCCACATGACTTGCTTTGACCAGCAGGACATTAACAAATGTCCTGCAGCAGAGACACGGGAGGCACTTGTGCTTTGGGGATGACCCTCTAGTGCTTACAAAAAATCCTTCCAGCATGTAGGAATTGCCCTCCAGAGGATGAGAAACTATGGAAAGAGATGGAAATTTTCAAATGCAAACAAACTGGTGATTCTAGGCCAGACTTTCAAGCTGGTGACAACCTCTGATGGCAATATGATGCTCAGACTATGTCCATAAAGTATAGCCAAAGCCAACTGGACATAATGTTCATTGTATATGTTGTATATGCACTATCTCATTTAATACTCAATATAGCTCTATGGTGTCAGTGTTTCCTTTTTAAAACATTTTGTATTTGTTCTGATTTGTTCTAGATGACAGTAGAATGCTTTTTGACACATTATATATAAATGCAGTATGAATTCTCATTCATTCGGTGGTACATGATGTAGAGTTACAAAATCATATGTGCACATAGGGTAATGATGTCTTTTTCATTCTACTATCATTCGTACCCCCATTCCTCCTCCCCTTCCTTTTCTCCCCTCTATCTAGCTGCAATCTCTTTATTCTCTCCCCACCCCTTAGTATGAATAAGCATTCACATAACAGAAAACATTCTGCCTTTGGTTCTTTGGGATTAGCTTATTTCACTTAACATAATATTCTCCAGTTCCATCCATTTACTGGCAAATGCCATAATTTCATCCTTCTTTAAGGCTGAGTAATATTCTTTAGTGTATATACACCACAGTTTCTTTATTCATTCATCTGTTGAAGGGCACCTAGGTTGGTTCCATAGTTTAGCTATTGTGAATTGAGGTGCTATAATCATCGATGCTGCATCACCGAAGTATGCTGTTTTTAAGTCCTTTGGGTATAAAGCTAGGAGTGGAATAACTGATGGTTCCATTGTAAGTTTTCGTAGGAATCCCCATACTGGTTTCCATAGTGGTTGCACCAATTTGCAGTCCAATCAGCAATGTATGAGTGTACCTTTTTCCCCACATCCTCACCAACATTTATTGTTGTTTGTGTTCTTGATAATTGCCATTTGATGTCAGTGTTTTCAATGATCTGATTTTACAAATGAGGAAAATGAGTCTCAGTTACTTCCCTAAATTCACTGTCAGACTCCAAAGCCAGTAACTCTATACAGAAAACTCCTATATAGAAGGGCAATTACCCACGATGTCTAAAACCAAAGAGCTCATATGAAGAGTTTAGGAGAGACTTAAATCAGGGGTGAATAGAACCCTGACATTTGTGCTCCAGTTAAAAGAGCCTGTTAGCATACAACAGAACTTGTTTATGCTTAATTTCAAGGAATAAAAGATGGAGTTTTAAGTTTCATATCTATTATATAGGGAAACACATTCTAAGTACCCACAATATGCCAGAATTTAAAAATGGAATTAATCA